GGTATGCGATCGTAATTTATTTTCGTCAAATGTTATACTTGTCGAATATCCTTGACCTAATTGAAGTTCAGCTAATATCGCTATTGCGAATAGTGAACAGTTATTGCTAGCAGAAGATTGTTGTTGCGTAGGATATAAATGAATTGAGAGATGAGGATGGTACGGATATGTAGCTACTGCTTGCCATTGAGTTGTTGTTACCTTTCCTGGATATAGTGAATTATAAACAGATAAGACTTTATCTGTACAAGTGAAAGCAACAAAATGGCCTGGTTCAGCTAATACTCCGGTAATCAAATCAATCGGTACACCATCCATAAATGGTGATGATTCAAGCTGGAGTGCCACTCGTGTCTCTCCAATTAATTGGACTAATTGATTGTTGTTGTTGACGACGAGTTTAGTTTCTGCTTAAGCAAAGTTAAGCATGCATCAATTATAGCATCTATATCATATATGTATATATACATTTTCTTATATAATTATGATTATTCAAGCTTGAATCAACTTTTTCTCCTGTTAGTATGTTTTTCTAATTTTGTGGGATCATAAAAATACTATTTTTCTAAGTCAAAAACGATTTAGAACAGAAATAAACTTCACATTTTGGGCGGAGGCGGAATTTACTAAAATTCTGGCGGAATTTCTAGCGGCGGAAAATTACTAAGTGACGGAGGCGGATGCGGAAAATTACCCACGACCGATAATTAACTCTTTCCAGTGGGATGTTGGCATATGGTATCATTTTTTGTGGTGTTTTATAAATAGCCGGCTGTAAAGAGTTCATATTCAGACTGAATGTTTCTGATGAATTTTTACCACTATCACTAATTTAAAGGTATCCTATCTATACTCTGGAATTTTAATTCCGCTTGAAAGTATACCCTGTTTAAAGTTATTTTCCAAATTGTCAAAAGTGCTAAAGCGTTTTGTACAATGTAGTTTGATATAGTACGGATTTATGTTGAAAAATGAATTATCATTATGAGAGTATGTTTGATATTCGAACTGAGCTTCTGGATAATAAGTTTTGATTTGTAACATCGTACTCAAATAAACCTTATATTGATTATGCTTGTGGATAGAACTACATTAAATACTGCTCCAAAAATTTATTAGTTTAACGGACAAACGTCTTTCGCTCAGAGATGGACAAGTCCGCTATTTTTTCAGTCCCAGTCTACTAGAGGCTAAGTCCGAATCAGTAGGGGTGAGATTTTACCTGAAAAACCTGAAATACCACCTTACTTTTGGGCAAAAAACTTGAAATACCTGAAATTTCCAAAAAGTTTTATACTAAAGATGATTTTCTTCTATTTCTACAAAAACTAATTAAAAACAAGTCTATTATAAATGGCTAATTAAACATACCAATATAAATGATATCCTAATACACCTACTCTAAATATATGACTGAGAATCCTTCCGAGAATTCAAAATTAAAACGATTTCTTATGATCTCATTAGATAAGGCGTCCAAAGTTACCCATAAACCCAAGTTTTTAAACCTTATACCTAAAAATGAGTGAATTACTGATTTTATACAAAAAGCCCTAGAAAGAAATCGAAAAAGTAGATTTTTATCATATTTTAATTTTTTCTTGTTCTGTTCCCTATTTTAGAAATCCAAGTTACACATGAATCGAACGAGCAGAAAAATCTGAACAAGTTGGGCTTATTTCAAGAGGCTCAAGTCATAAATCAATGGCTAAAAAATTCAACTCATTGAAATTTGTTAGATTTATAGACTTAGTTTTTCTCAATAAAACAGCCACCACACAGCCAAACCCTGTTCTAGTAGGACAGTTTTAATGCGGTTTATACAGCCATCAATTGTGTACAAAATGAGCTACAATATTAATACCATCAGAATTAGATTCATTCATCAACTTTTTTAAAACTTTAGTTTTAACTCAGACTGTTTCATTCTCAAAGAAAACTGATATTGGTAATGTTCCACAACATGTTTCTGCTCTTATCTGAACAAAACTTTCAGTTGAAAGGATTGAACGCATCGCAATTGCGATAGTATGTCCTTTTCGATTTAATTAGTCTTTAATGTGTGTTAGCATCATAGGTTAAACATTCTAATCTAGTTTTTAAGCACAAAACGCCATTTAACACTAAATGTTAAATCATATCCTCCATATATTTTTCGTTTTCAGGCTTAATTTTAATATACATAACACATATTAATGCAATATCATTAGGCTGTTTGGTAAATGCGTGTGATGCAAAGATAATTATTAAAAAAAGTGTGTAATGTTTACTTTTGAAATTTCGTCGAATTGTAGTGACTTTTTTCATACCATGAACATTGTTACAAAAGAATTGCTCAATGTGTCGAATGAAACTGTTTTCTGGCTTCCTGAATTTTTTTTGGAAAACCTGAAAAATTTTAGACGCTCACCTGAAAAACCTGGAAGGTATTTTGAATTTTTTACTCTCAACCCTGAATCAGTCCCAGTCCAGTCCCAGTTCGCTAACGAGGAGATTCACGAACTGTCGCATCGCTTTTTCAGCCAAACCTAGTGGGGTTATAGGTTATCAACTATGCTGAATCCGAATATCAACATAAGACGGGCCGCCAGACCTCCAGAGTCTGGTTTTCTGCAAAATCAGTTTTTCCGAAAATCTAAAAAACAACCAAATCGTTTCTTAATGAGGCATGATTGTGTCCCGCACATTTCTAATTATAATGAAACATCTTTTAGCTCTACACGACCTTTCTTTGTAAAGTTATAGAATTTACAAGAAAAGCCCTAAATTAATTTCTTATTTCTGTAGCTTTGAGCTGGCAATGAACATTTAGGGCTTTTCTTGTAAATTCTTTAACTTTGCAAAAAAAGGTCGAGTATAACTGCGAGATGTCTCATTGTAATTGGCAATGTGCGCGGGCTACAATCATGACTCATTAAGAAAGGTTTTGGTTACTTTTTAGAGTTTCTGAAAAAACGGGTTTTCCAGAAAAGCGCCCTCTGAAGGTCCCTAGGCAGCTATCACTATGATATTCGGATTCAGCGTAGTTGATAATCTATAACCCACTAGGTTTGACTGAAAAAGCGATGCGACAGTTCGCGAGATCCCCTCGTAACCTTTAACTCTGATCTCGACCACAACATACATTGATTTCCACTTCCATTCTTTTTCCCTCTTTTTATCAGAGAATAACTGTTTCTTTACATGGCTATAGCAACAAAAAAAGACAACAACAAAATTTTTTTTAATGTTAAAAATAAGTAATACTATCCCGTCTCGCAGCCCATAGGCTTAGCTGCGAGGCCAGATTAAGATTTTAGTAAAATCGACAATTTAAAAATGCACAAAATACAAACTTTGTCCCAGACTCTTCTCTATCAACGCTTCGTCCGATCAATATGGTTCCTTGGAACTTTATGTTTGTTATAGCATGTAGATGTTCCCTTTCTCCAGACGAAAGTTTATCCGAGCGGTAGCTCGGGAGTTATATCGTAAATGTTGCTTTTTTCCAGTATAGTTATTATTTTATTTATGAGCTGAGTTATAGGCGCACTAACGATAATTAAGCGATTCTTGATAGACGATGTGCGTTATGGTATGTTAGTCACGATTAAGTATATTGCATATATCAAAGAACATTATTATAAAAACGTTCAGAGTTCAGTTCAATACAGAGACACAGCACGTTTTATTAACTCGCTAATATCTTATCAGCTCATTTCTTCAACGTTTGCACTTTAGTTCAGTTTTGCAAAACATTCCGTTTGTTTAGTTCTGCTAATTGTTAAAAACATTGCTCTTCATTAATTACTTGTTTGTGTAGAATACTAGCTAGTTCGTTCGAAAACTAGTCGGAATCCGAACTTATCTACTTCGGTACCTTCTACGAAGACACTAGCATTACAGCGAGACAGGGACGGATCTACTTAGATCTCGTTTTATACAAAAGCAGAGATGGACAGGTCCGGTATTTTTTCAGTCAAAGTCCGTGTGAAGAAGTCTATCAGTCCGGACTTGGACGTCCCATCTCTGCCTTCTCTTTCCCAAAATAATACACTTATTTGAAATAGAAAGTAAACTAGATGCCAACTATGCTGCGCATAGATTGGAAAGTCGACTGAGTGAAACGGTAAACAGACGATATTAGAAGGTTCAGAAACTCAAAACAGTCTGACTACTTTTCAAGAATAATTCCTACATTCCTATAGCGGCTGATTCATTATCGTGTCATATGTTCTACTATAGTACAGCTTACATCATATCCAGTACTGTTTTATGTGTTTTATTAATATCTCATTCTGTCGAATAGATCCAGACATATAATGATTTTATTTCGATTTGCCTGCTCGTCTTATCTTTGTACTTTTTGCTGTTGGTATTAAATAAATAAAGTTATATCAGTATATATTCACTCTGAAGTGAATCACAATTAATTATCTCATGGCAGAAACGATAGAGTTGTGTGAAATATATACCCATTTTGTGACAACAATTATACGATAACTAAAGCGAATATCCGACAATTAATTAACTTCAGATGTGTCATCTACAATTCCTGCACTTTCGTATCATCTTTTTCGCAAACCTGTACGATCAGAAATAACTGAGAACGACTGTCTGACTCGAACGAGACAACATAGTGTGGAAAGAAAGCAAGAAGAATTTTTCTGGGTGAAAAGCAATAAGTCTCCTTGAGTTTCGCTCAGTCGACTTAACTACATTTTTACCTTCTAGTTTAAAACAGTATATGCGATAATGTCACACGTAGATGTTCTTTTAACCTAATGTGAGAGTATTTGAAAATCACATCTGGATCTTTCGTGCTTGTTGTTAAATAAAAGAAGAAAACAAGTTAGTTTTTGAATGATGAGAATAAAAATCTGTACTGACATATGTTGTTTTAAGTAATCCTATAAACATTAGGTTGCTGAATTGTTTTTTTTAAAATACCATCGACATATAGATCAATATGCAGCAGGGGAAAAGGTTAGTTTTTTTATTTCAGTAAATATTTAGCCTTCATCACGATTCAATACTCTGTTATATCCGCGATAATTTATTGAACACTCATTTATTTTAGTTCTATTCCATCGTCCAGTTCAGGATTAATTATTCTCTTATTATGTGCTTTCATTTTATCAGCAAATTCTTTTACCTTAAAAAGGCAAGGTTCAACATGGCGTCCTGTGGTGCTAATGCATGGAATTACATCGAGTGCAGATGATATGAATGAATTAGGTTCTTGGCTAACAGACTCTTTCCCTGGCATTTATGTAAAATCGATCGAAATTGGAAATGGAAAGGATGATTCATTTTTAATGCCAATGAATAGCCAAGTGGCACAATTTTGTGCAAAAGTTAAGGCAGATCCACATTTTAATAATGGTTTCAATATACTCGGATTCTCTCAAGGAAGTTTGATTGTTCGAGGTGCTGTTGAGAGATGTTCATTTCCAAATGTTTATAACTTGATTACAATAAGTGGAGCTCATGCTGGTATTTTTGGTATACCGTATCTTGAAGATTTACCAGCACATTTTCGAGAATTAATTTCAAAATATGCATACACGGATATAGCACAAGGAATGCTTTCTATCTCTGGTTATTGGCGCGACCCATATAATTTAGATACCTATCATAAAAAATCACAATTTTTAGCTGATATCAATAATGAAGATTTAACACCAAATGAACTTTATCGTCAAAATTTACTCAAATTAAATGCATTCGTCATGACTTATTCAGATTTAGATGAAATTATTACACCAAGACAATCGGGGTGGTTCATGGGATATCAAACGGACACGCTCAAAGTCGAACTATGGAATTCATCGAAAGTATTTCAAGACGATTTAATCGGCATGAAGACATTATTAAACACTGATCGATTACATGTTTATACATCACACACTAAACATAGAGAATCAACTCATGCACCAAATAAAGAATTTTTTTTCAAAAATATCCTTCAATACTTTAATAATACCTTGTAATTTTTCAGATTTGTGCCTTTATTTTCCTGTAGATGAGTTTAATAAAAACATGAAATGACACCATATATTGATTCTGGTGTGTGATATCAGAATGCTTTAGAATATGAGATTCTAGAAGTTATTAAATACAAAAACATAACGATTTACAAAAACTTTATAGTGACATACACAGTAAAAAATATTGTGTCGCAGTAAAATGTGTCGCAGCTCCTGTGAGAAAATTGTGTCGCATAATTGTGCTGCCGTTACTAAGAACTTTCAGACACAGTTCTTGAGGTCATTTCAGGATCTGCTCTCTTCAAAAAATTGCTAAATTTTATGTTTTACTATTTTCAGCAGTCTTCATTAGTATTTTTCTCAGCTTCTTTTCAATTTTGATGTGCTATATGTGGCGCTAATACGTAAAAGATAAGAAAATTTTCGAACTTTTTAAGTGTTTTCAATTTCGAATTGGTGTTTTAGTGGATAAAGATCCCTCTCTTGGTCTTTTTTAACTATTTTCTACGTTAAACATTTTTTCTCTAATGAAAAAGAATCAATCAGAGGCCTTGACTACGCCATTAATCCCAGATCTCAGAAACTAAATATTTTGAAGGCCTGTGAATATTACCGGCGGATTGAGCTTCTTGACATTACGTAGAGCATCCCATTCATCCATCTACAACTTACTATCATCAGTTATTGTTACACATTTGAATATTTAATCAATAATCAACAATTTTTCGAAAGTTAAACGTAAATAAAAGAACAACTTTATCTAACTACAAGCATGAGAAATAGAAAAGTATGACGAGAAGATAATCATGTATGAGATGTTTTCATGACTAGTCAGTTGTTATTTTCTGGCATTCATCAAACAATAGGCTAATAGTCGATAATTGCGGTTTTTACTTATTATATTATTGAGTTTAGATAATGATGAATAACAACAGATAATTGGAAGTTTCAATGTTAACTGTTTGCTTAACATAATGCTCAATGCAAAAGTTATGTTTCCTTCCGATGTTATAGCATTTGTCGTGTACTGTAAAGATATAGCAGAATTTACATAAACTCCGTCTAAATGTTGAACTTCAACGTTTTCCATCAAGTTCATGCCTGAAAAATGAGAAAATATTTACAGCGTTCGTAATTTTTGCTTGACTTTTTCTGTGATACATAGAAATATTTGACTAAACTTGAATTTATTTGCAAAGACCAACTGTTGCCCCGTTGAAATTTAGAACTTTCATCTGAAGTGGATCGTTCACTATAGTGGCAAACCATCACAAAGAAATAAAATGAAAATAGAGCATTATAGCAATTTAATTTCAAGTACGAAGCAGCTTATTATACAAGTTCTACAATTTCACTGAGAATTGATAAAAGTCAGGAAAGTTGATAACTTATGCTTCCATCTAGTTCTGAGATTAATCGGAACCTAGGACGTCAAAAACGGTGCCATTAATTGCATATTAAATACCCATTAATAACTCATCCAATGTTTGTTAAATGGTCATTTTCAGGCCATTGCAACAACTTTTTGACCATTTTTATGCATAAAAGTGGCAATTTTACTACCAGCAGCGCCTACGCTGTGATACGTTTGAGACGTGGTTCTCAAATAAAAAATGAAGTGGTATATCTTTGAAAATTTTTTTGTTACCATTCCAGTTTGAGTTCGAGTGAGAGAGTTGAGGTTAAGGCATGAAGAAATGCGCTTTAAAACAACCATTACAGCATAGTGCACTGAAAAAAACGCTCGAGCACATTATTGTTTGTAGGACTAACTAACTATAGCAAGTTTTCATATGGGTTAGAAAATTGGAAAAAGCAAAATTTTTAGGTGATATCAAATGACAGGTGATGCTTTATGCCTCAAGGTGGATAGTTATGTCTTTAGGTAGACACCGTCATTATTACGATCAATAAATTGACATTTTATGATGTTGGTTTCGAAGTCGTTATTGCACCATCGTAAATTGCTATCAATCTATTGTTCGAGCAGTTTCTGAAGTCAGTTTTTTTTCTAGCTAGTAACCGCACAAAGACTGAATTCAAAACTTTCAATATTTTGGGTTCCATCCCTGGTATCAGCCCAGAACTTAAGGCTACTCTTAGGCCGTGATTCACGCTAAAATAAAGGACAAAAATGGGGACCGTTAATGGCTGTTTTTTCAGTTTTTCGCCGATTAAAAGTCAATTCTTCATTATGTACTTAATATGTAGTTATTAAATGTCAGTTTGCGTTCGCTTGAGAAAATTCTCATGTTGAAGATCATTTCGATCGCAAATATTGATGCCATTACACTTAACCCGCTTGATACTTATGCTTTGGTTTTCCAGGGATCTGTTCTGCTGATATATGTATAAGCTCTTGATCTACTTCCTACTCCGAGATTAATCAACCAGTTACTCAAGAAAATAGGATAGCGATAGTAATAAGTATCAAAATCATTTCTACTCGTTACTGCAAAGCTATAACAGAATGTAGATAAACTCCGCTCAAATGCTAACTTCATCGTTTGCCATCGTCCAGTCTTTTTACATATTGAGTGATTTCTATAGAACAGTATACTGTAGTCATTGCATATACTATGACACACTAGCGCTACTGTTCTGATTCTACGAAGCCTAATTCATTAGCTTGTCTACCTAGTTTTATGGATAAACTCGCTCTTATTAACGTAAGTTCCTGAATATATTTTGCGTTTGTTTGTTTCGGGCTATAAAAATTATCCGTCAGCCCATTAGTTAAGAAGGTCTACCAATCCACTACTGAGTGCTTGTTTTGTCTTTAGTATAGCTATTTATTTATGAACAAATAGTTGTTTATTTCTTTATTTCTCATTTTAGTATATTTCATATTTTTCGTGTTGCGTAATATTGCATTCAACTTTTAGTATTATGCAATCCTATTAACATGATCTAATCAAAAAGTAGAATACCTTTTGCAACAATGTTTTTAAATGAAAAGATAGCATGAAAGAATGATCAGTATATTAGGATGCTAATGATTAATGAGTAAACTTTTCTTTTCTCTCCTAAAAGTCGAAGCCAATTGAGTCAATTAAGGCTTTTATCAAAATACTTTCACAGGAACTTATTCCTCTTGCACATTATTTCTGTGCGAGACTTCCGAAGCCCGTCTGAAAAGGATAGTTTTGTGTATTCTTTCTATAGTCTACGATTTGAAACTAGTTAATAATTAATAAATCTTTTCTTTTGCTACAGAATACATTATCTGTGTATCATAGTTATTTCGTTTTTGAAAGCTTTATATATTTGACCAAGTGCAATATGGGTATTTTAAAAAATATTGAAGATGGTATTGAAGAACCGATTGATCCCTCAATCGTAATTCCTCATATTGAACATGTTTTGAATAACGATACAAGGTAAAACGAATTTAACTTTTTCTTACTAATCTTGTTAAATGGGCGTTTCTCTATTATTAGTGTTCCTGTATCAAGTGATGATGATGATGATGATTATCAGCCGACTCACGTACAATCTATTTCGCTATCGACAAAAACCAAATCAAATCGCGCACGTCGACAAAAACAAATATTAAGTCGAATACCAAAACCATTGTTACAATCAAAATTTCACGGTAAAAAGTCATGCGGCCAACGACACGCAAAAAGACATGAAAACAGTATGTAGTTTACTTGCTTTTGTCAGTGCATACCTTGTATTTATGTGAGATTTTTAGTGTGTTTTTTATTGAATTTGGCCGCGGATTTGGATGAAGATTTTGCTGAAGTTAATATTAACGACTTGGTAGATAATACTGTTTCAGCATTTGCCCAATTACTTTTAAATAAAAACAAAATGAAGGTATATTGGCTAATATGAAGTTGTTTACATTGTTATGATCAAATCAAAATGTGTTCCCCAACAGAATGTATTTACTTATGACTTATTTATTTAGGAGTCTTACTTAGAGGTTCTTTCTCTAATATTAAAAAACATAATTTTCTCGAGAAATTACGACAGCTAAAGATGATTAGCATCCGCCTCTGGAATTATTTTGTCATATGACAAAATAAAGTCGTTTACCTTCTCTATGCGGATTGGTCAAATGCGAACGACCATGTCGTCTAGTTTCTATACCCTATGTATGCAATAATCCAATTGTGCTGTTTACTAAATTGTCAACTATATTCGATGGTGTAAGTAAATTTTACAAAAAAAGATTTCGTTTTTCAAAGTAAGTTTTAGCTGTTAATTCAGTTTTTTTAGTGACGTATTAATCAGAAAATAAACTAGATTCTGACTTTAATCATAAAAATATCCATTAAAAAATCTTGTTTTGGTGAGATTTAGGTTGTAGCAAGGGTTTTGCTATTCACAGTAGATCGCTCATTTAATCGTGATATTAGTAAAGAAACAACTCATTTTTCCGTGTAACACATTTAGCTGTCTGAATTTGTTTTTCAACAGCACTATCGCATGCTTAATTTATTGGAAGAAACGTAGAGAAATGGTGTGAGTGTGTGTTTTTATTTAAGAATAATCCTGTTCAACTGCTAATAATAGTGTTTTTTTAAATACACTGTTTTGTCATTGTTAAGATGTGGAATGAATTTATTGATTTACCGGAAGAGGAACAAGAACTTATTTTAAAAATGGCTGTGGATCGTGAACAAACAATTGCTGAAAAACAAGAATTCGATCGTTGTACATCAATCGAATTGAGTAATAGTGATTGTTCATTCTCTAACGATGATTCATTTGAAACATTTGTTGTTATTGGAAAAACACATACGAATAAACGTGATCGACGTCATAGTAAGATTCTTAAGGATGTTTTAAAACATTATTATTTTGGGGGTTTTTCTTCTCAGAAAATATTGCATATTCTGCTGATCAACGTTTCTACTCTATCGATTCGAATATTCGTTGTGTCTTGAAAAGCATGCTAAAACGACGACATTTACCATTGGTAAGAGTTAATGGACAAAAGGACAAAATGTTTTATTGTTTTTTGTGTTCAGGCGCGTATTATATATTTCGAAGATGATTTAATACCATTTTTTAATGAACATCCGGATTCAGTATATGTTCGAGATTTGAATAATGGTTTTGATCGAATGTTGTTGCATGCCGTTTCGCAATATCTTAATTTAATATCAAAAAGTAAACATCTTTTTCAGTACTAATGAACTCAGAAAAAATATTCGCTAAAGCAATGGCGTAACTATGGGGTGGGGGCCTATTGGACCATAGTCCAATGCGATTTGAGCTTTGCTCCAATAAGATTTCGAACTGTGTGATTTTCTCCCCAGATGAAAATTTAAAAAAAGGTTTTTTGGTCCAGTCTTTTCTCGAATTATTATAGTGTGTCCTAGCCGTTTTTTTTGAACTAGTGGAATTGGCCCAATGGTAAAAAAATCCTAGTTACGCCATTGCGCTGAAGATATTCTACTTAACATATTTTTGTGTTGATCTAATTTTAGGTTTTACGCGAGATGGTGAACGTTATACCCAAGTTGAAAATCATCGACTCAAATTTATTCCACCCACTACACTTTTGTCACAACATATAAAAACAATTGGTGGATTAATGTCACATGAATAAAGGTTTACAGGTCTCTTATTCCCTTGTAAATTACTTGGTTACAATGTAGATAGTTATTTTGACTGAAAACACTCTAATATTCAATTTCCGCACGTACATTTCTGGTTCTTCTATTTTTTCCGCTGGTAAATGGTCTTTATTTTTGCTTTAACCTCTTGTATTTATATTACATTTTGAAATAAAAATGTACATGTCACATTTTATTTTTATGTTTTTTTCAAACAGTAATAGTAAAATCTTTTTGCTTTGTTCTGTTTCGTTTTAAAAACTAAATTGATTTTATGATGTTTCAGAATAGAAAAAACAAAAAAAGTATAATTTTTATCTTGAGATGAATGCACCAGCAACATTCGAATCATTTCTATTATTAGATGGTGAAAAGAAGATTTTAATTGAAAAAGACACAAAAGTTGCAAATGCAGTTGTATTTACAATAAGTAAAGAAGATCATACTCTTGCAAATATGTTAAGAGCACAATTATTAAAGGATCCAAATGTGATTTTTGCTGGTTATAAAGTGCCCCATCCATTAGAACATAGAGTAATATTACGTATACAAACTTCAACAAATTCCTATACGCCGCAAGAAGCTCTCGAAAATGCTATCAAAGACTTAATATTTGAAATTTCATTGTTAGAAGATAGATTTAAATTAGCCATCAAAGATCGGCAAAGTGCAGAATAATTTAAATAAAACTAAGTTGTTTTCTGTTATAGTTGTTTTTTTATTGTAAATAGAAAAATTTTAATTTAAAGAATTATAAAGAAGTGAGAATGGCGATCTTATTTTCTTTTCCAACTGTACTAGTTGATTTATAGTGAAAGTAATGTGGTATTTTTTCACTAGTTAAGTGTTTGATTAGAGGTTTCAAATGCCACTGTTACGTACGCTATAATGACTCGTTTAACTATAATCTGCACAAAAAAGTTCAAATCCATTTTGATAAATATTTCAAAGTTGAGATTCGAATGTAAAGAAATGTTGTATTGTATCGACAATTCAAAATGAATGAAGGATTTCTGTAAATACTATAAAACTCAAAATGTCTTTAGTAGACGTGCGTGAGATTTAATATTATAGTCATTTTGTCTTTCGTTTGCTCATCGTAACAATTAAAGTCCTTATAGAAAAGATGTGTGATCTTTATGGTCAAATTGTAAGGAAACTTTATATTTAAGAACTCATCATTAAAATATTCCACTATTAACTTTTTCTTCTAGATAGCACTTTGTGTTGTTTTTAGAATTTCTTAAAATTGATCAGAAGTGGCCTTTTTTTACTCGTGAAATATCATTATCTCGAAATCGAAGTGTTGTTATTCATTAAGAAACGGAAAACACATGTTTTCTGGCCGTTATTAATGCTTTTGATCTTTTCTCGGTCATCTGAGCGACATGCAAAACGAATGAGCACAACATTCTCCGTCAACACCGCCTTCAGCCTCATCCTGTTATTCATCAACGGTAATTGTTTTTTTTAATAATTCTCATCGATAACAATTGAACTTTAACCGTTAAACATAGATCTTTCGTACTGACAAGGTTGTAACTTAAGTCTATGTGAAAAAATTGATTTTAGACGTCATTTGCTAGTTACTTATTTGTACTTTTTGTTTATAGTTGTCCTTGAATCACCTGTCATAATGTCTCAAATATACAGTGTTGACTGAGGAAGATGAGCCAATAATTTTACAATTTAACGCTTCAATGTCAAATTATGTTTCAAATCTTTTAACAAAGTTATCTTCAATGCGTGATACAGCTGATTTATGTGATTTTAAAATAATTGTTAATGATAAAACATTGTTATGCCATAAATTCGTTTTGATAGCTATTTCCGATTATTTTAAAGCAATGTTAGGAGGTAGGAAACATGAATTTTTTTATATTATCTATCATAATTCTTTGATACTCTTTATTTATGCTTTTAGGTGATATGAGTGAAAGTCATTCCGATTATGTTGTTTTGAAAGGTTTTGAAAATTTGATTGGGGTTGAATCAATGTTAAATTTTGCTTATAGTGGAACATTGTCAGTTTCATTTGATAATATTATGGATGTATTACATGCTGCTACTCATTTACAAATAAATGATGCTATCCAGTTATGTTCAAAATTTCTGCTAACATCCTTAACAATTAATAATTGTGTTGATATGTATAAGATAGCTGATTTATATACATTGACTGATGTATTATTAATTGTAAAAAAATTTATATCAAAAAATTTTATTGATATGATGTTATTAGCTCGTGAACAATTTGAACAATTAAATTTAGAACAATTATGTCATGAATTACAAAAAGATACGTTAGATATTATTAATGAATACGATTTATTTAATATGGTTTGTTTATGGATTAATAGTAATAGACAAGAGAGATTAAAACATGCATCAACGTTAATGGAACATATCAGGTTTGTGTGTAATTTTTATTATTTTCCATTATTTCATCGAATAATGATACGACGCATTTTTTCCATAGGAAATAGTCGGTTACTATGTTTTCGATATAATAATATTTAGATTTGAAATGAAACGAATGTTGGAATTTCTTCTTTTTTTTTTTGTTAATTAGATTTATGTTAATGACGCCTGAAGAAGTTGTTGATAAAGTAATTAATAATGATATCATAAAATCAAACGATGATTGTAGTCGACTGATATTAAATGCTCTATGTTATTTTTCTTTACCAAAACGTCAACCATTATTAAACACAATTCAATGTCGGATTAGAAATGAACCTGTTCTAGTGGCCGTTGGTGAAACAGAATTATTTACATTAAATACAAAATGTGAAAGATGGGATTCCATTTGTCAGGCACCTCTCGAAGAAAATTATCCATATCCATTTGCAGCCATAACTGTTAATAATTATTTATATGTATTGGGTACAAGACGTTCAACAAGTGAAGAATATAAATCGTGTTATCGTTTTTCTCCAAGAACATTTGAATGGACAAAATTACAAACATTATTACATGATCGATCGAGATTTTCAGCCACCTATATTGATAAATACATATATATGTGAGTTTTTCGTTTATTGTTCTTCTATTTTATTATTTTGTTTATATTGTATCTATTGTATGTTTAGTATGGGTGGATTTGAAGGATTTAAACGAACAACCAGAGTCTATGTTAATACAATCGAGAGATATTCAGTTGAGAATGATCAATGGGAATCTTTTTCCAGTGATGGACCACAATTATCATCACTAGCTTCATGTGCATTTGATAATATGATTTATCTTGGAGGAGGAAAAAATGGACAATGGTAAGTAATTTAGACAACAACTGAAAAACTAATTCTTCTTTAAATAAATTTTTCGAATAAAAGTATGTTTTTCCTATGACATTATTTATTGCTTATAATTCTAGGTCAAAAATAGCTGATTTTTATTGTTTTGATATAAATCAAAAGAAATTGGAACATCGAGCAAGTATGCTGAGTGCAAGAACAACACATAACATGACTGTTGTTGATCAAAAAATATTAGGTAGGCAATTTAGTTTTCAATAAGAAGTACAATTAAAATTTTTAACTTTAATAATGAAATCAAACTGAAACATTTTCTTCACTGAAATTTCGTCAGTTAGTTAAAATGTTTTTGTTTTAGCTATTGGAGGATTTGACGATGATGGCAATGGCATGTTAAGTATTGAAAGTTATGATGTCAAAAATGATCAATGGACAATATTAACAAATATTCCGGGTGCAGTATCAAAAACGTGGCCACAAAGTTCAGGCGCTGTTGGACGACGTATCTACATCTCTGTATTTCATACATCGAATTCATTTATTGTTATGCAAGAAGGTTATTATTATAATCTTGACGAACAAAAATGGATTAAAGCTCCTGTAGTCCATGAACGGGCGAGGTATTGTCCGACCGTACAACTAAGATTTCCAAAATCTGCTCTAAATAGTACTAACGCAATTATCACAAATAATTCAACAACTGTTTATGCTTCTCCTCTCGTTGATAATGCTACAGTAGTGGCAACGGTAGCAGATATGAATTATTAAAATATTTTTTCCGTAATACTACTAAAGTAGCATTCCATTTATTCTAAATCGTCAAAGTTTTTATATTGTAATTATTTGAATGGTTACTTTGTTTTTCTTCGTTAACTTCTTCAATATTTATAACAAAAGTAATATAAATATTTTGAAAACAAAAATTGTGTTTTTATCGTACACTATTTTTTTTTGACATTTTATTTTAGCATAAAATAAGAAAAATCTCACTTCTCAAAATCTGCTTTCTCTTCAACATTAGATATTCTTTAGCTAAATAGTAATAAGAGAGAAAAAGAGATATTAAAAAATGTTTTGCTTTGCTTGAGATATTTTTTCAGCTTTTATATTGAAAAAAACATTGATAAAGTAGGCTATTCTTTATACATGCTTGTTTAGAGTAGTTTTTTAAATAAGATATTATGTCTTCGTCTTTATATTTCATTTTAGATTAGCTATAGAAGTTCCTTTACGAAGCGATTATGTCAAGTAGGCTTTATGACTTATTTTTACACCTTACTCAATGGATAAGAAGATAAGCACCAGAAGAGAGCAGAGTGTTGTTTCTGTTTCATAGATGGATAATCATTCCTCCGCATCTTGTTTTCTATTTGAAAATACAAATGGTTCATATTCCAATGATGTATCGATAATGACAATGATTGAAGAAAATAATGGTAATTCATCTTTATCATCATCTTCTCAACAACAGCAATCACAAAATCCATATCCTTGTACAATATTTTATTGTCGACCAAATTCACATCCATTTCAAGAGAGACGTATACCATTAACAGAACCGGTTAAAGTTGGTCGAGCTGTGGCTCGTTTAAAAGCATTACAAAATAATGCCATATTTGATTGTAAAGTATTATCGAGACAACATGCAAAATTATGGTATGAAAATGGAAAAGTACGTATCAATCGTAATAAATTCATAAATTCTTTAAACTTATTTATTTTTTTATTTTTAGTTTTATCTACAAGATACTAAAAGTTCAAATGGAACATTTGTGAATAATCAACGTTTAGGAAAATGCAACGAAGAAAGTTTACCATTTGAAATATTTAGCGGTGATATTGTTCAATTTGGCGTAGATGTTACAGAAAACAATAGAAAAAGTAAATGAACTACTTGTATTTGTTTATGTTAATAGAAAAACAGATTATAACTGTATAGAGCAAAATACATTGTAGTATATTAATTTCGTATGATCTTTAACACCCCAATACCGAAAAAGCATTGAGCATTATCCCATGTATCCTGATCATCAATTCATTAGATGCAAATACATATTTCTTTCAATGCAATTCAATAATATTGTCTATAATTTATCGGGGTTTGTTGAGCTATAAACAGTATATCAAGCAATGCAGCTAGATAAAGAAGTAAAAAGTATCGATTCATACGCCAGCTAAAACATCTAGATATTTTAGCTGAAGCACTTTTGCTTGGACGATTTTTTTTCTATAGTAGAAATGTTAATCTGAGAACAATATAGAAATACCAGTTATACACTTTTTCATTTAGCTACCCATAATTGTATAATTATCGAAGCTAAACTATATAACAGTGATGGCAGTGAAGCCTTACCTCGCAGGTATATACATAAAAATATTTGTTATGGATACAATTAGCGTGACTGTGTTTATCGCTTTTGTTCATAGTTCGAGTCATCCGTTAACTCAGTTAAAAGATTTAGATGTGAATACTCGAAGTTTATATGAACTAGCTCAATATCTTCAAGTAAGTGTCAAGAAAATGATTTTAAATTCTTAATCAAAATGATGATTTTATGTTTTATTTAGGAAGCTCTTCAACGTGAACAACAACTTGAACAAAAATTAACTTATTTACAAAATGTACTACAAGATACACAAAAAGCATCCAATGATGGGTGGCAGGTATTTTTAATAGTTTAGTATTTGCTTTTTCAACTAATAAATTCTTTTTTTTAAGGCAATTATTGATGAAGATCGTCTATTGGCAAGAATAAACGCACTTGAAGATCAAATACGTGCATACCATGTGAAAGTAAGTGCCGGAAGTAGTTAGTCAGAGAAAAGTCAACTTTATGAAGGTAACTGTTATTTTTAGCATCCAAATGAAGATACGGTGAAACAAGAAATTGTTCAGCTAACACAAACACGAATGAAATATGAAGAAGAATCAAAAGTAAGAAGTATTTAATTTTTCAGGACTGAACGTTTGATTATTTTTGATTTTTTCTCTTTAGATTAAACTTGAACGAGCATTGCTAGAGAAAACGGATGCTGTTAGTCGTGTACGAAATTTAGAAGTAGGTCATTCACTTTTTCCTTTACTCATCTGCACGATTGATTATTTCAATCTTGGCTGTTTTAGTGTACAGTACAATTAGCTCAAGATGAATTAAAACGTATAGAAGAACAAAATGAACAACAAAAACAAGAAATTCATCATTTAGTTAATCAAATTGATGAGCAACGGGCTCTTCTTATTGATTTTGAGCAAAAATTAAAAGTAAGAGTTTTTTTTTCCTCAGTTTTTATTTTTTGAATCGAATTGAGACTATTCTATTTTACAATTTGTTCTATATTTTGTTGCGAACAGTTGAATAATAGTAGATTTTTACTGTATATTCACCTGAATTCTCATAACAAGTACTTTGAGTTTGTCCTTTGAGGATAAAATTATTATGTATTTTAGGAATCGCAAACACGATGTGCCGAACTTGACTATGAGCGTAATCGCATTGAAGCTGATTTTCAAGAATATTTTCTTCGTACACAAAAACTTGAAGAACTACAACAACAACAACAGAAAATAATGAATAATAATAATAATAATATAGATAATGAACAAGTACAAATTTAATCCGTTTCCTTTATGCTACATTATTTTATCATTATTTTTACTTATTATAGAATGGATTAAACATTATTGAGACAAGAGGTCGATTTCGAGTTCATTCATCTTCGAAAGGTTAATATAAGATGAACGTAAGCATTCTTACGCTCATGTACCTCTTATCTGTAGATGAATATCAAAAACAACAAACCGATACACCAATGGATAATAATATCGATTACGATAAGAATGACGATGATAGTGTTATCGTGAAACAGAATGATGAAGAAGAAAAGTTCAACGAAAATGGAAACAATAGTACGTTTCTCGATTTTTTTTAAAACAAAATTTATCTATATTTCACTTTGTTAGATTCATCATCAATTATCAAAGTTGATACATTGATCAATGAAAATGGCAACGAGGTAAGAAAACGTTTAAGAAAAAGAATTCGTGATTTATTCATTGGGAACTTTCTTTCTTTTAGGACGAAGATGAGAGTGCAGACGGAGATGAACAAGAAAATGATTTAGGTTTGACTTATTTATTTGTTTTATGAATGGAGTCCGCGGGGACTTTCTGTTAAAATTTATTAGAGCGTCTCTCAATTAGTTTTGATATTCTAACAACGATGTAGATGACGAGATACGAGGTTCTGATGTATGCTAAAAAAAAAGAATTAGTGCAGCTAAAATTGACTGCTAATTATGACTAACGAGGGACCCACCCGAGGTTATAAATCGATTTCGGCTTGAGACTATTTTTGTTAGAAAGGCCCATGGTCATAGAAGGTAGGCCATGGCATTTCTCTACAAGATGGCATATAGTAGATATTTTTAAAGTTGCTTGATTTCCTTAAAAAACGTTTTTGATAAAACAATGACCCAGCAGTTAAAAACCAAGTTTTTTCATTGTATCAAAAACGTTTTTTAAAGAAATCAAGCAACTTTAAAAATATCTACTATATGCCATCTTGTAGAGAAATGTTTGCTCTACAAAACTGCTGATTTCAGAAAATTTCATAGTTCGTTGCTGCGAAAATGCAAACCAATTTTTGTGGAACATGAAAAACAACTGTTATATGCCTAGCTACAAGTGTGGCAAGTTTGAAATCAAAATTCGACAGTTGGATTTTGCTCGAAATCCAAGCTCTGTAGGCAAAAACTGACTAAAAATTCAGTATCTCAACAACCAAGCACCATGGGAATAAACCAAATCGGGGTATTTTAGTACTCTTTAGGGCCTTTCTAACAAAAATAGTCCCAACCCGAAACCGATTTATAACCTCGAATGGTTCCCTCGTAAGTTCCCACGGCGTATTCAATCGGTGCATACTTCGCAAAGATATCAACAAGTATTTTTCTTCAATTTTTACATGGATGTGTGACTGACTTTTTAGATAATGTGATACAAAACTGGTACAATTTTGAAAATGAAGAACAAACTTCAGTTATAGATAAACAACAATCTTTTCTATCTCAGCCTGAAAACAAGTCGTTATTTACTGGAAAAGAAGATAAACATCAGTCATTGAACAATCATGAGGATACTTCTGAACAAAATGAACATAAAGGAACAAACACTAACGAAATAAAATTCATTCATTCCGCACCATCTGCATCTATTCCTTCTATATCTTCTTCTTCAACGACCATATCGTCTGATGACGAAACCAAATCACTTGAAAATACTAATGGTATAAAATATTAATTTTGATTCGTCTTAAAATACAATAATTCTAAGTTTTTCTTCTAGACGAATTAAATGTCAGATTAGCTCTGAAAGAAAGAGAATGTGCACAATATAAATGTAAGTTATTTTTCATATTCACATAATTTTCTCTGTTCTTCAAAAATACCTAGATCTTGAATCGTTTTCTCAGCGGAAAAAACTTTCGTTTATAAATATTTGTGAAAAATAAAAAGTGAAAAAACGGCTCTCACACGTTTCAACTTGATTAGAGCATCAGAAGCAAAACGTTCCTCAAGAATATAGCATGCAACTAAAAACTATTAAAATCACAAAAAACTGCATTCTTAGTCGTTTTATATGGAGACATGTGCGCCGATAAAAAATTTTCGTCGGCGGCGAATGAAATTTTTACCATAGGCGGCAGCGGCCCGAGGGTATGAAAGTTTCCTGCGCCTTCGGCGGCGGCATGTAAAAATTGGTTATCGGCGGCGAGTCTCATAACTTAAGCAAAACAACGTTCTGTTTCATATCTGACACGTTCTTCGCGCACCAACTGTATCTGTACATTGCCGTATACGAAAAGATAGAGATGTACTGCACGCTAGATACCTAAGGTAAGAACGTACTAACAAAAATAGTCAAAATTTTCGGAAAAAAATTTTCTCCGCCCTATGCGGCGACAGAAGTCAGAATAGTTTTTCTCCGCTGTCAGCGGCGACGACGGAAGTCGCAACAATTTCTGTCCGCCTTCAGCGGCGACGTGTGAAAAATGACCGGCGGCGAACCGGCGCACATCTCTGTTTACATGTAATAAATCCAAAAGAATGAAACATACTTCCCTCCCATGCTGTTAGTACTTAACTCTTCTGTTTTCCACCCTTGTTCTTAAAAATTATATATGTCTGAAAACAAAAACCAGATTTCATATTGTAATAGTTGATGCTCTTTTGTTGTTTATTTGTTTACTGTATTTGTCAGCGTCTTTACTGTCTATTTCTACTTGATATGCTTACTTTTTTGTAGGTGTAGAAAATTACTATTTTTCTTTGACTCCCTTTTTCTCGAAACGTTCTGCAAGCTTTCAAGTGGCTTTTATTACAGTCATGCTGTGTAAAAATACATTGAAACAATTAATTGCTTGTTTGTATTTAGATTTGTTGGAAAATGAGGAAAAAGCATCTGCATTAATTCGTCAACAACTTAATGAAACAAAAGGTATGGTGTTCATTGTTCCTGCATATATCATTACTTCATTGTTTATATATTTTTATTCCCGTTAATGTGCTCAATTAAAGTAGATAAGGTGGAACTTCTCCTCCTTGATAAGCAGAATAAAATGTGTTTCATTCGAAGTAGGTTTTATAAAAGCAAAAATAATTAGAGATAAATTGTAGTTCTTCGTATTTTTTGCTTGTATTATTTCTTAAACGTTGAGTCTCGCATAGTCACATCAATCTAAATATTTTATTTGGTAAAATATTCTTATCTTATTAGTAGCCATTAGTAAATGTGAACATTACTGACTGATTCACTGAAGAAATTATTTAGAAGTTCTGTCATGTTTTTACTGTTATTGATATAGAGAGGATCTATAGAAGTCTATTGCGTAACGCTTTTGGTTTTAGTGTAGCTGTAATCTACGTAATATTGTCATCTATCTCTACCTTGTGATTTATTTACAGAACGTCTTAACAGTATGGAAGAACAATATCGTTCTGAACACAACCGATGGGAGGTTGTAACGCGAGAATCTTCGATGTTACGTATACAATTTCAGCTATTAAAAGAACAATATGATCAATTATTAAAACAAAAACCGGAGGATAATAGATTAAACATTACTACTGAACCTCTCCTAGTAACAAAACAAAAAGAATTAAATGATTTAAATGAAACAATTTTGACAAAACAAAATGAATTCGATAAATTAAATTCGGATATTGAACATTTAAAAGTTATCTGGTGCTCATTGAGTGACGATTTAAAATTATCAACGCAGAGCGCTATACAATTATCGTCCGTATTGCCAAACGGTGCTTATCCACCATCTCTGCCATCTTTAAAAACATCATCACCACCACATATAAATACAAATGGATTTTCTTCTTTATCATCAAAAATTTCTACTAGTTCAGAATCAGAAACAAACGAAAATCAAATGAATGATTTTGTACAATTGAGAGATGAATGTGCACAATTAAAAAATCGAATTGTTAGAATAGAGAATGATATGAAATGGTGTGTAGTATCAGCAAGTGAACTTATCTTTAATAGCTAATTTTCTTATTCTTTAGTTCTCGGCAAGAAAATTTACAATTATCATCGGAATACAATCGACTACAAGATACCTATGAAGAATTACAGACGCTCAAAAATGCGCTTGAATCAAGCGAAATGAAAATCAAACATAATCTAACCGATGCACAAAAAGAAGTTGATCAATATCATGATAAGGTATAGTTATTGTTGCATTTTCTACTAATCATACAATTTGTCTATGTGAAATTGAAAACATTCGTATCTTTAGCTTGAAGAGGCCCGAAATTATATTCAAAAACTCGAAAATCATTGTGCTGAACTACAAAAAGTACTTGAAGAAACAGTGAATGAATATGATGAACTTTTAATTCGAACAAAAACGGTAATTAATGAAATTATTTTCAATATCTGTATATACAATTTATTTTTATTATTTCATTTAGGTTTCTGTTTGCTCAATAATACCTGTTGGAATACTAGTAGTCGCCTTTGTTGCCGCATTTTATCCAATATTATCTAAAATAACTGCCACATATTAAAAACACTTTTTTATCTTTGTATAGTAAAACATTTTTTTTGTACACATTTTCTTCTTGTTGTTAAAACGAAAAATTTTGTTCATTATTCTTGCTATATATACATATATGTGCAGGAATTTATTTTATAGACATCGATTCATACTGTTTTTTTTTTAATATCGAAGAGATTCCATTAGAATTAGAGTGATCGTATGCGAGTGTATATATTTGAACTTTTTTGTTTGTGCTGTTGCCGCAACAGTTTATTTTTTTTATGACTAAACACATCGATTTTTCTTTTATATACGCTTTTTTTAAACAAAAACAATAATGTATGCCAGTATCTTCAATATAATTTCCACTGTACTCTCTGCTTTTCTTTTTTCTTTAGTTTAAGTTTATTAATGATATACAGCAGACCGTCAGCTTCAAATCTTTAAATGAATAGATAGTTTTCTTACATTCAAATCACTCTTCTCACCTGCTCACGCTGCTTAAAGCATCCTTTTCTATGCAAATAATAGCGAGAAAAATACTGTTGTGTCTGATTATTTTTTGTCTTTTTTGTTGTTTATCGTGCCGACAATTTGAAAATTCAACAGGTTTTTATTTTTGTATTTCTTATACATGTTTGGATAGAGCGCGTCGAATTGATTCAAAACATATGTTTTAATGTTTAAAAAAATTATTTTCATGTTGAAAAATTGAAAACATTTGACAGGTCTAAATGTAAATGTTCGAAAAACGTTCATAAACAATTTTGCAAACCTGTCCAGTTTTCTGTGTGAAGAGATGAAGCCGAGTTTTTTACTTCATCAGAACCGCCATTGGACGCGCTTTAAAAGTATAAATCGCTTTTTTTTATTTTGCTTCGTCACTGAGAAAATCCAATTTTTCGAGATCGGAATTTTGCCTGCAATTCTCAATTGTCTCCATCAGAACTCAACTTTTATCCAATACAAATATCATATTCGCAATCTGCGTCACAAACTGAGTCGAATGATATACTTTTTTTTCTAATCCGACCATTTTAAGTTGTATGAATTTTTACGTCCAAAAATCACTCAGATTTTCACTACAAGACGAAAATTAACGAAAAATTTTGAAATATAGATCAGTCGACTCAATTTATGACACTGATTCTGAATACGATATTTGTATTCGATAAAAGTTGAGTTCTGATGGAGACAATTGAGAATTGCAGGCAAAATTCCGATCTCGAAAAATTGGATTTTCTCAGTGACGAAGCAAAATAAAAAAAAGCGATTTATACTTTTAAAGCGCGTCCAATGGCGGTTCTGATGAAGTAAAAAACTCGGCTTCATCTCTTCACACAGAAAACTGGACAGGTTTGCAAAATTGTTTATGAACGTTTTTCGAACATTTACATTTAGACCTGTCAAATGTTTTCAATTTTTCAACATGAAAATAATTTTTTTAAACATTAAAACATATGTTTTGAATCAATTCGACGCGCTCTATCCAAACATGTATAAGAAATACAAAAATAAAAACCTACTGAATTTTCAAATTTCCAGCATCTTACGTAATATGATGTAAAATAATAGTTTTGTTCTATTTTGAATGCTCTTTGTGAAATACTTCTCTTTCATTATAAACTACGACTATTTGTCTTAATATTTGTTGATATTCTGCTGCTATTTCGTCGCTGCTCCTTTTAGTCGCCTAAATACACGACGCCTAGAAGAAGGAAATGAACAAGACATACTTTTCATTTTTTATTTCAATATTCATTGATTAACTGTCTTTTCTCTTGTTGTTGCCCATTTATTTGTTTGTTTATTTATTTGCTACTTGTTCTAAACGAAACAGAAAAAACGGGCTTTCACATAATTGGGCATTATATTCCAAAATGCAAACTGAAAAAGCCAGAATTTTACATCTCAGTCTATATTATTTCAGAAATGTTAAATCCATCTGAAGTGCTTGACACAAATTGCCCGTACATCAAGACACTAGTCACGAAATCTTGTCCTTCAAATCGATTGCCATAGTTTTATATATCTCGGCGCTTTATTATCTGATTTCGAACACATTCACATACTTTTTTACACGAATGGATGCCATCATGTGCCTGAAGAGACGTAGTTTTAAAGCCAAACGTTTTTATTAGTTAGTGCATTAAGGGCCCCCCTCAGAAATGGTGATTTTCGGTCAAAAAATCGGTTTTGAGATACACACATGAAAAGATAGCTTGAAGTGTCTACTTCCAGAATCTGTATTGCTTTTGGTTACAAAAGTGGTTTTTCCGGGATTTTGAGCAAGTTTTCTAAGAGCCTCGAAACAACGGGTCTTCAAACATTGGTTTTTTCCTGGATACTTATGCAATTAAAATTTTTCTGAAAACACAGCTTTGTAGAGCAAACGTTTCTGATCAAAATAAGACTTCGCACAACCCTGTGTGACCTTGCATCGAAAAGTTACAGGCATTTTCCTAGAAGTCATAAAATCGACTATTTCATACAGCGTTTAACATAGCGTTTTCGCTATATAAGAGTTACACCTGAAGTGCGTCCCAAGATTTTTAATAGCGGTTTGTCGTAGAGAGTTCATTCTTTTTTTGTTTAAAAGAGGAAAAAAAAATACATCGACTGACCGGCGTCGATTTTTGAATTAAGTCTTATTTTTTTGTCAAACTGAGGATTTTCAGAAAATCCGGAAGGCTTTTTCGGATTTCGCAGGTTGTTGGTTGCCTGGAAAACCAATAAAGGCTTAATTGAAAAATCGGCGCTGGTCAGTCGATGTAGTTAGGTGTCTAGTTTAAAATAAAACAAACCCGAACTCTCCAGCTTGAAGTATATTAAAAAATCTTGGGACGCCGTTCAGGGCCCTTTTTGGACCTTGATCTCCGGTAAACTCCTAAACCGTAAGATTTGGAGACAAAAAAATCTTTTCATTCTCGTAACTCATTGTACCGAACATTTACGGAAAGTTCCGTCAAGATCGAATGTACGGTGCCGGAGATAATTTCTGAAAGGGGGGCCTTAATGATTCTAACGGATGCTTTTTATTTTCAGACGTTATTATCAATCTGACTTTAATGTAGGGGTATCATTTTTTTTTATCACCAAACATTTTAGATACAAATTAGATACAAATGATCACCAAATCTTTTAGCATGATACATATTTATTGAAATATTAGCCAAATGAACAATTGCTAACTTTCTTGGGAGGCCCTTTTGCTTTTCGTTTGCTTAATGGTTGAATACATCTTTTATCGCTAACTTGATACAAGTTAAATAGAATTGCTAATCCAACAGAATGTTTAGACGAATATACTTTCATGCCAATCGGATAGCTACATGATTCTAATGATACTACACGCCAACAGGATTGTTGCCATACCAGAAAATCACTGAATGTACGCCACTGACGAGAACGCTAAATATCTAGCCAATGATACATTCAGTGATTTTCTGGTGTATTCAATCATTAGGCAAACGAAAAGCAAAAGGACCTCCCAAGAAAGTTAGCACAGCTTTAAATTTGTAAATAGATATACATAAAACTGTAAAAATATTGTTCATTTGTTTAATATTTCAATGAATAGGTTTGTTTTGTCCATTATACTTTGTTGAGAAATAGAAATGTGAGATTCATGCTGAAAAATTTGATGATCAAAAGTACATTTATTCTTAATGTAGTATAGTACTTCTACGAACCTTTTTTCTAGACGCTTTTCAGCTTTTGATGAATAAGATGTTTCATGAATTTTATAATGCCTATGAGACAGAAAAAAGTCTGATTTTCTGCTTTAATGCATCATTTCTCCCTGTCTCTCTCTTTAAAAACTAATTATTAATTCTTCTATTAACTGTACTATTTACTGATGAACTTTACCAACTCGAACATTTCAGTTGACCTTCGAAGTGTACTTGCGAACAAAACGAGTACGAGTGTAACGATAAACCTATCAGAACAGTTCTATTTATATAACGTTGGTTTTAAAATGTGAGAATTATGTGGAAAGAGCCAACAACCTTGATTTAGTGGAAATATAGTCTAAAAATATATTATACGGGTTATCAATGATTTGTCACGAAAATCCTCCTATTAAGATTGATTTGTTATTGCTAGCGTGTGTTCATGATGTCTTTCGTTAAGAGTGATTTCAAAATTCTCTGATGTGTACATCCTAAATGTCTACTATAATAGGCAGAAAACAAAACGAAATAAAAAAAATAAGAAATACCCAAAGGAAACTTCGGAACAGATCTCTCTGATAGTAGTGTAGCGGAGTAAAATATTATTTTTTTACTAAATACTTTCATCTTTTTAGTTTCTATATGCATACACGATAAATGACATGTTATTTTTTCAGAACAAAGAAGAAGAAGAAGAAAAAGAACTCAGGTGGGCGTTGTACAGATAAATAGATATATAACTCAGAAGTTTTAATTTTTACAAAATTTACCTCACATACGCAAAGATGAATGAGACTAATTGTTCGATAACAATATTTAATAAATCACAAGTAAATCAATTTCATCGATGGATAGCCTTATCGTATGCGGTGTTATTTATTATATCATTTACGGCAAATTTACGTGTGCTATTTAAATTATGTCATTATTCTCGACGACGATTTCGTGATCATATTTTATTGTTAAATTTATGTGCTGCTGATTTATTTGTTACATTTACTTATATGCCAAGTGAAATGTATACATATACAATTGGAAAATTTTATGATGATGCTATATGTAAATTACTAGCTGTATTGAAAGCACTCGGGATTTATGTGTCAAGTTGCATGATTATTGGTATTAGTTTCGATCGTTATCTCTCAATTGTACATCCGCTTAGTTTTTATGGATCAAATACGCGAAATAAAATTATTGTCATATTATCCTGGGTTATTAGTATCATAGCGAGCACACCTCAAGTAAGTGTAGACGATATTGACCAAAAAGTATATCAAAGAGAACATCTATTTTATGTTAACATTGTAGATTATTATATTTAAACGTTTTACAAATGATATTTTATGTCGTGAAATGTGTGGTGATACATTATCAGATAGTCCTGTAAAAAGAATTGCTTATAATTTGGCTGTAGCAATTTTTGCTTATCTCGCACCATTACTAACAATATTATATTCTTATTTTCGAATACTCTATGTTTTACATAAACGTTGTGACAAACGAACATTTCGATTTTCTAATTATCAACATCATCATTATCGTGATCCAGAAAAAAAACCATCATTGGTTCAACAAGATATTAATACGGTCAATATTAAGACAATGACACGAGCCAAGTTAAAAACATTAAAATTAACAGCACTTATCGGTAATAAACTCTACAAATTAAATTAAAAACATATGTTATTTTTTTTCTTATTCTAGTTATAACATTTATTGTATGTTGGACACCTTATTATTTGGTTGTATTTTATTTATTAATTACGGATGTAGAAATAAACGAAACGGCATCACTCGCTGATATTCAACAACCATCTAATGATGAAGGATCGTTATTAATCGTCATGATGTTAGCTGTATCAAACAGTGTTCTAGATCCAATCATTTATGGTAAGTGTTTTCATTAAACATGTCTGTTAAAAGGTGTAGCAGTGCAATGAGAAACTAAATCTGTTTCATGTTTTTTTTATCAGACTAAGCCAACTTCTCTCTGGAGCACATATGAGAGTGAAATGGTAGCGATAAATCATATTTTTTCATTTATTTTGATCCTCAAAATTATCATCTATATTATTCCTATGTTCCTTTAACAAAATGTTTAGGCTGCATGAAAAAATGGTTATTACTCGTCTTATCTCGGAACAAATCTCTTTTTTCAACGAGACATCAATATCGAGGCGGTTAAAAACAATTTCTAAACTTTAATCTAATTTTTCATCAGGAGAGAGCAAATGCTTTATTGTATTACTGCAGTTTCGTGTCGGAACTTCTCTATTACTTTTTCGTTAATTTGAATGACACAGCCTGTCGTTGTCAATTCGTTTATATTTGTAGGATGTTTCATGATGAAGAATGTGAAAGCAGGATGTTTTCGGAAGAGACTGTGCAATGAAACAACAATTCGTCGTGTTGAGGAAAAAGATAGTAAACAAAGTACTATTCGTGTTACTTATAAGGGAATAGCGCTTGAAAATCCAGGTCACAAATATAGTCGTCCATCGACAAATGATCTATGATTGTGAAAGAATTTCTTATTATAATAAGATCAGGTAGATCTGATAATAGATCACTTGGAAATATTAGCTTTTCATCTTGTTATCGTATGTTCTTTCTTGGTGATTTTCTCTTTATAACTATAATCTTGCACATAATGATTAAAATTGCTAACTTTTGGCAGAAATGATATTGGATTTGATGATGCATAGGATCGACTGGACTATCCGTGCATGTTAATCGGCGAATACTAAGTGAAAAAGTACACTGACACTAAAGGCTAAATTAATCAAATAGAAGAAATGCACCATCTAGTTCTAATGATTAATCTATCAGTTGACTGCAGGTGATTTTTAATAAACAACATATAACAATAAAGCTTCCGCATACACAATAGTGAAAGATATTTTTCTATGTTGAATTATTCGAGGTAGAACTGCTCATAATGTAAGCAACGTTGAAATATAGGCATAGTTTATGACGCGCAGTAATTTGATATTTTTCGTGTAGCTATTAAATATTAACTGACAACAATGTAATAATTGATGCGTTATCTCAGCTCATAGAGTAATAGCTAACACAAAAAAAATACAGTGAGTTTTATGTTAAATCACATTTTTCGTGATGATAAATGAGTTGTTAGCAACTAAATATCTTCTCAGTTTACAGGATAAAAACATGCATGCATCGAGTATTCGAAAATTAACACAATATCTAATTCTTTGCTAAGTAAACTCTGGATTTTGTTCTAATATGGTGAGTATCTCAAACTATCTTAATTTTCATGGTATCTCAAAAACAAACTTCTATTTATACAATCAGCTGAGAGTTGTCATATTTATTTGTCCACAATGAAGTGGCATACTACATGTCGAAAAATGATGTATCACAATTGAAAGATCTAAAATGCTAGTAAGGAGGAGGAAGTAAAGGCTTATTTTGCCCGGGAACTATTTATTCCCACCTTCTTCATGCATGCAGCGACATCGTAGCGGATTAAATAGAAAGGCGCTCAATAAAATGTATAGACACCATTTTTCAATGAGTGAATTTGTTTGAAATTAGAGATGTACATGGCGCCCTTACCCTATCCTGTAGGGTAGGTTAGGGCCAGGGCTTCGAAGTCACAGGGTATGGTATGGCCAGGGCTTCGTCTAAAAAAGATATATTAAAAAAATAAAGAAATAATTGTAAATGAAAAATTCTGAAATTTTCAAAGGGTAGGGTAGGGTCAAGGCTTCATTGCCACAGGCTAGGGTAGGGCCAGGGCTCAAAAACTTTTCACAGGGTAGGGCAAGGGCTCCGTAAACAGTTACCCTGCACATCTCTATTTGAAATGATCATTAATTCATTCTATCTGTGAAATAAGCACGTATTTAAGTGTTTAATATGACTCAAAACGAACAGTTGTAAAACTGTCGCTTATCAAGACAATTGAATTGTAGATGCACACAATTGTCAATTAGACAAGTATGAAAAGATCGAGGCTTCTTAACTGAGATCACTTTTTATAATTTAAGAAATAAAGCTGATCTCAGTTTGGAAATCACATATTCTATCATTCACATTGAGAATTTAACTGAGTGTGATATCTTTCTACATGATTATTCGTACGTGGTCTCACACCAATTAAATCAAAATGATTCCAAAAATCTACTTCAAATCGTGGATTTTCAACATATGTTTTTAAAATGTAATGTGTTAATTTCAAAAATCTTGGACTATTGCTAATATTGCTAATATTTTCGACTATATTGGAAAATGCTCATCAATTCTACTAGGAGGTATCAGTGGTAATGCAAGAATATTTGCTAATTCTCGTCGTGTTTCTTGTTCTTTGGCCAGTTGTACTAAATTAAACTCTTTTGCATATATTTTTAGCAAAATGAAACTGGCAACCTTTAATAACAGCTGTTGGAAATGTTTTGGAAAATGAGTTCAATGCAGCCATTTCGAAGTCGATTAATACCGATTGCGGCTTCAATGAAATATTATTGAGTGTGAGAATTCAAAAGACGACGATGAATATGAACCAAAACAATGAGGATGACAGAGTTAATTTTTTTTGTATTTTCTTTTTGATAAAAATAGTTTAGCGATCCATATTTTAATAAAGCGGAACCTACAAGCTATAGAGCCTTCACTTCACTCTATCTAGTATATATATATAATTTATATTATATACAGTTTATGAATCCATATTTTATTAAAACAGGAACTAAAAGCTCATTTTCCAACTGACATCACTTTTCAAAAATGATAGAATGTGCGATTTCTAAACTGAGATCAGCTTTATTTCTTTAATTATAAAACGTGATCTCAATTAAGAATGAGCCGAAAAGATATATGAAGACGAAACAAATTTGGCTGGAGTTATTTTGCAGACGAGTTGAAGAAAAATTTGTTTTGTAGGTTACTTATAATCATAACTTCAAGGCTGATAAAAAATATCTCTGCTCAGGTACGCTTCGTTAGATTAAGATGTGAGATAACCTACGATGCAAAAGTAATCGGACAAATGTCGAGCATTATTTCTACATGTTCCTGATGAAGGAAAGTTAATTATTTTTCCGTTGGAAAAGCAAAGTCTTATCTGCAAAAAACATAGAAAACCAAACTTTTTGTGGTTGAATTTGAGTGAGAAAAAGTTTGAATCTCAAGCATCGCCAAAAAAGCTCTTGTAAATAGCAGCATGCCTGTATACTGTACTGGAACTACTTATGGTGATTTTATTCGTAACAGTATGATTATAAGGGGAAATTATCATTTCGTCACGATGAATCCGAGCTTCGAATCTCCACCTTCGGAGTTCGGAACTGTATATTAAAGCATTTAAAGCAGTTTAGTCGAAGTTCGTAACCAAAAACTATCGGAAGTTCGT